CTCCCCCCAACTACCAGGACCCCAATTTTGCCTTGCAGACCTGGTTGGACTAGTTGATGCACAGCGGTGCGGACGGGAATTGGGAACACAGGGAATCTAGGACGGAGGAACCTCTCGGGACCAGGGGTGACAGTGGCGATACCAGGAGGGAAAGGGGATGTAGTAGGGGGGAATGGATCACAAGTTGTATGTTTCATCGTTGCTGTACTGTACCCTGACTGACTCGTCTCCTCCCCGCTACCCTTCTGTAAGGGGATGTCCGGTTGCCTACAGATGGGCTTTGTGTCTCCACTCCTCACTCCCCGTCATTCACAATGATATGATTTTTTGTTCTTTGATGCCTGCTACCTGATCCCATGGACACCTTGTGATCACACAGGCTGGTGTGCTTCTTCCGTGTAGATTTGTTGCTTCTGAGCTAGATGGCCGATTGTTTACATTCAAGTCTTTAAGACCCTAGACACTATATCTTTTGATAGCCAGGCTCCATCAGCTTTCTTCACTACATTTGCTTATGCACCCACCTTGTCTTCAGTGATCTGTTGGGAAGGTGAGCATCATAGAATGCCAGGTTAATAGAACAAAGTGTTCTTGGATTGAGGGAGTACTTGAGTAGAGGCCCAGTGTCCATCAGAAGAGAGTTTGAATCCTCATCTTTGTCCTGGTTAATTTGGAAGGAACGTACCATGTATACTTGTATATAAGCCGAGTTTTTCCACAGTTTTTATGCAGTCTTTGTGATAAAATTATGTGCCTTGGCTGATAATTGGGTCAGCTTATACTCGAGTATATATGGTAATTTGTAACTTTTTTGCTGTTGGTGACCACACACAGTCAATCACGTCAATTATTATTCTTCAAAAATTTTTTTGAGATATTTCAAATACCTTTGGCAAAAGCCACCTCGGAGGTTACAGTAGTCTTGCCCTTGCTTCTTTCAATGGTTACAGTGACTCCCGAGATGACCAGCTTTCTCATTCAACTTGATTCTATCCTGAAGAAGCTGCTCAAAACTGGTAGCATCCATGATTCCATCTTCTACAGGGTGAACTTTAGAACCTGCTTCTTTTTTTTGTCCCACTTTGCCACAGCCTTTTTTACTGGGGCCTGGCAGCAGCGGAGGCACAAAGCCTTATGCATTCTTAAGGGCAAACTTTGCTCGAATACTGAGCAATGTGATCAGATGGCTCACCAGTCATTTCTCCACTGAAGTCATATGTGTTTGAGGCCCAGGATGTATGTTGGGCATCACTCGTGCTCCCCAAAGATCCAAATCGGCAGTCAAGCCTAAGGAACTTGATATGGAGAACTGTTTTCTCTACGAAGAATTAGATGAACTTCAGATGCAGATTCTTCAGGACCCCCAGCTCACCTCTCACTGTGAAAAGTGGTGGTGTTTCACTATACATTGATTTCTTACTTATTCTAGGAGCCCGTTAGAATCGAGGATGTCACTGTGGTTTTCACGGAGGCAGAATGGAAGATACTGAGCTCTGAGCAGAAGAACCTGTACAGAGAGGTGATGCTGGAGGTGTGCAGGAATCTCTTCTCGTTGGGTGAGGATGTGCTTTTTCTGCTCATTAACGCAGTAGATATTTAATGACTACCTGCTCTGTGCTAAGTGAGCCACAGTGGTACAGTGGTTAAGCACTTGTATTCTAACCAAATGTTTGCATACATTTGGTTTGGACCCACCAGCCACTCTGTGAGAGAACGATGTGTTAGTCTTCTTCTGTCAAGACTTACAGAGTTGGAAACCCTCTCAGCCAGTTAGTTATTTTATCCTTTAGGTTCATTATGAGTTGGAATCAACTTGACAGTGACAAATGTTTTTTATTTTTCTATGTGTTATATAGTTTGTGCTCAAGTTGTATCCTAAAGGCTGGTCATTTGAACCCATTCAGGGGGCACTGCAGAAGAAAGGTCTGGCAATCTCGTTCGCCAAATATTCCCTCACTCACTCGTTGCTGAGTTGATTTTGACTCATAGTAACCCTAAGGGACAGGCTAGCATTTGCCCCTTGGGTTCCGGAGCCTGTAATTATTTATGGGAGTCGAACGCTTTGTCTTTTCCCCAAGGAATAGCTGGTGGTTTCAAACTGCTGATCTTGCAATTATCAGCCCAATCTGTAACCACTAATCCATCATTTAACTAAGTTGTCCCTTGATACTATGGTTTAATCCTTTATCCCAGTTAACCAATCTTGTGAGTTACTTGGATATATCTAGGAAGTCATTCTAATTGTGCCCCTGTGTGCTTTTATTATATCTAAACGAATACATATGTAGCACACAATGTGTGTGTATAGCTATAGAATACAGGCACACAAAAAAGCCTATACATAAAGACACACGTGTACTCTTATATACCTATTTGTACATATCTATGTTTGCTTCATTTCAAGGATAACCTCTAAACAACTTGGTTTGGATATGTTTTATTTATTTATGAGCTGCAAGGTGCCCTGTAATTGCAATATAACATGCAGGGGTTAACCAATAAACTGTGTTAAGGAAATGTCTGTAGCCTACTATGCCAAGGAAGTGTTTGTGGAGGCGATTGCTCTGTTTATGTCACTGGGTGGAGGTCCCTGACTTGAAATTCATGAAGACTTAGATATATATTTAAGGAGCTCTAGTGGAGCTATGGGTTAGGAATTGTGTTGCTAACCACAAGGTCAGCAGTTCAAATCCAACTCCAAAGGATAAAGAGAGACTGCCTGCTCCCATAACGATTTATAGTCTTAGAAATCTTATACAGTGTTGGTTTGAGTCAAAATTGACAATGTGACAGTGGGTTTGGTCTATGTCTGCAAACAGGCAGCCCTACAGAGGTTTTGTTTTTTTTTCAGACAGGAAGCAGAAGGGAAAAAGAGATAAGCGGAAAGAAAGAGGTGGTACGGAACCCCTTGAAAGAGGTATAAGACTAGATACAGTGAGTCCTGGGAATGAGCCACATGGCACAGCCAGTAGACATTTGGCTGGATCCAGAGGAACCTGTCCTTAGGGAACTAGAGTAACCTTTCATTGGAGGTTAAAAGGAGGCTTGACTTTGGAGAGGAGCTGAGAGAGCTGCTGCACTGAAGAGGGGAGACTGTGCCTTCTTCCTGATCTATCAGTCCTTCTTTATAATCAGGCCAGTCATGGTTTCCACACGGGTCATAGGAACTATTATTTCCATGGAATAGCAAAGTGTTAGGGGCAGAATATATCATGTGAGTATCTGCATCTTAGCAGAGGATTGTAGCAGAAGGAAAAGGCAGGCTATAATAGCAGCTGTTTGCAAGGCAGAAGCAGTATCTGACGCTTAACTTGAGATGAGAAATTCTAGTGTGACATTTTGACAAGGTTGTGTGTGTGGGTCATCTGGATGGCATACCTAACACCACTGCTATGGGCTTGACTACAAGTCTTTGGGGACCCTATGTGACATGATAGAACTGTCCCATAGAGTTTCCCAGTATCCAAATCTTTATAGAAGCTTATTGCAATCCCATTCTAGCATTGAGCCATTTGTACCACTAACTTTTTGGATTGCATCCAAGGGCTTTAACTATTGCCCTGCATGGCATCCTTCTGGATTGCAAGAGAATGTTTAATTTGTGAAAATGGAAGATAAATGAGCTGTTAGTGAAGGAAAAACTGTACTGTCTATATTATCCCTTATAAATATGCTAGTAAGATTATTTTTAATTCCCATCAAGTGAATCCTGACTCATAGTGAACACATGTGAAGAATAGCTTAGGTTCGTTCCTTAAGGTTTTTCCAGTCTGTGTCCTTCCAGGCTCAGATTGCCAGCACCACCAGTCTGTCTTGTGAATCATCATCCTTTTTTTTTTTTCTTTAAATCATTTTATTGGGGGTTCGTACAACTCTTACCACATTCCATCACATACAATTGTGTCAAGCACATTTGTACATTTGTTGCCATTATTTTCAAAACATTTTCTTTCTACTTGAGCCCTTGGTATCAGC